ACACAATTAATGCGTTGCAAAGGTTGAAGGTTGAGAATAGTAGAGTGTGGTCCTTCCAACCTTATTATGCACTGTGGTCTTGCATGTACTATTCATATGGTCTTACATATTATTATTCATTCATACAACACTATTCATTTGCACAATACTATTCATTTGTACAGTATTATTCACAATACTATTTATGTATACAGTATTATTTACAATTTTAATCCTCATGACCACAAACTTATTCAGTCCAAACACTATTATTTTGAAAAATAACAAGCCAAAAAGCTCACATAATGAAACAAAACTAATATCAAAATCCACACAGCGAATCAAAATAAGCATGCTTATTTTAATTACATTTATTCATTCGTAGAACAAGAAAAATACAAATTACAAAACCATACAAATTTCCGAGCTATAAGAGCCTCATTTTTATGAAGAAAAATACACAGAAAACAAAAAAAATAAAAAAAAAAGGAGAGAAATATGGATAGATGAGAGAGAAAGGTGGAAGCCTGAACACTATTTCACCCCACCTTCAGGTTGCTCTAAACAAAATTCACCATATCCAGAGTCCCGTAATATTTTTTTTGAGAGAGCAATCTAACTCCCCTAGAGAAAAAACAGACAGCTTGATCTAATTCACAACAATGGACAAACTATACTTAAATCTTCGTTCTTCTAAGGCTCAGTCATCTTCTGCTTCTTCACAATAAAAGAATGGCCTTCATCGCCTCTAGACAATCAAACATCACCAGAAAACCTTGCCGGAAAAAAATGAATTCAGCTAATAAACTAACGAAAAAAACGAGAAATTCAGTAACAAGAATTGCCATCAAAGCCGTTGAAACCGGACAACAAGAATCAAGAAAAAAAGAACCGGCAACTGAGAAAGTTGCATCATTTCTCAAGCTCAACTACTCAATCAAGATCAGACGCTTCTCTTAACTATGGAGTTGTGTTTTGAAGGTTTAGCTAACAACTTAGCTGATGCAAATCAAATTAAGGTTTTATTTTACATTTATTTTAATTTTATTTCTTTTAATTTTAGGAATAGGAAATGCGTTGGGATAAGTTAGATGGAGCGTGAGTTTTAAGGCGTAAGCTTAGTAGAGGCGTGAGTTTTGGTTTAAGAAATAGCTTATTTTTTAAGATAAGTAAAAATTATCTTTTAGAAAGAGAAGAAAACATAAGATTTAGAGAGATAGATGGTGATATAGATAACATGTGAGAGAGATAAATATGAGATTTACGTGGAAATAGAAAAATATAGAATTTATATTTTGTGGGTTTTATTTATTTATTTATCTTCTAATATATTTAAGGGGAAAAATCACTCATTGTAAATGGTAGAGATTGGAATTGAGTAAAATTGATATTGTGAAAAGATGTTTTTGGGATAGATTCCTTGTGGACCGTGAGAGATGGTAAGATTAAGCAAAACACTTCAAATGGTATTAAAAAGTAGCATGAAAATATATTTTAAAAAATCAACTTGTGATTGAGAGTATTTTTTAAAATAATATAAAAAGATAGAAAAATGTAAAATAAGTATTTATGGCCAAAACACTTCCTAATTTTGCCAAAATAATAGAAAACATAAAAAAAAAATCCTAAATAAAAGTCTTTTTTTTAGAAAGTTTTATTATTTTATTATTATTTTTAAATCCGTAAGTTAGACACCCAACTCGGGCTCGGCCCGAGCTCGAGTAACTCTGCTGAGTAGAAACTCTTGGGCAAAACACTTCAAATGATATTAAAAAAGTAGCACGAAAAATAGATTTTAAAAAATCAACTTGTGACTTGGAGTATTTTCGAAATAATCTAAAAATATGGGAAAACATGAAATAAGTATTTATGACCAAAACACTTCCTAATCTTATAATAGAAAATATACAAAAAAAAAATGATCCCAAATAAATTTCTTGTTTTTTAAAAATGTTTATTATTATTTATTTATTTTCATATCCCTAAGTTAGACACTCAACTCGGGCTCGGCCCGAGCTTGAGTAACTCGGCTAAGTAGAAACCCCTAGGCCCTTCAAGTTTATAGAACTCCATACCCAAATCACTGTAGTGGGTCCCAAGTTCGAGCTCGTCTGCCTTATTTGACCTTTTGTGTTTCAATGTTTTCCTCGTTTTTTTGTAGAGGAAGACCATTTTTTTTTTATCTTGTTTTCTTTGAATTATGTAGAAGGGCAGTTTTTGGTCCTAAATGGCATTCTAATATTTAGATGGGAGGTTAGATGAAGAAAGAAATAGTGCCAAAAGATATTCTACTCCTTAGGGACATGTGTGAGAATTGACCCGATCCAAATATGAAACTCGGATTTTAGATCTTTGTCGGATGAAGATATGGACAAAATTTGGATATGAAATCTAGGTTTGGACCCAAAGGAAGGTCCGAGTTGAAATTTGGATGAACAGGTGGATCCGATCTAGATCCGACTTGGATTCAACCTGATTTTTTTAATAGTACATATATATAGTAATCCGGATCCGATGATACTATTCGGATCCAGATCCGAATAGAACCCTGGTCCAACTCGAATATGATGCACTATTCGGATCTAGATCCGTATTTGGAAGGATCCGACCCGTTCTCGCCGTGACCTAGGGAGTACAACTCAGTATTTACTAAAACCCCACTTAAAATTAATTTTAAGATTTCAAATTTTTAGGTATTTACATCTTCACATTAATCTCTATAAAAAAAATTCTCCAATTGCAGTGGGTAACTTGCGTTAGAAAACTCTTTTTTTTTTTTTTAGAATAATAATCTAGTGATGCTAAGCCGGTTACCAAAATTTCAAATTGAAAAACCTCCAAAGTCATGTAATCGAGGGAGTATAAATAAACTTTGATCTCGAGGGAGCACGGTATACATGCTCAAAAATAGTTCCTAAGGGTGTATGTGGAAAACCATTTAGTCGGTTGGGACTAAGTAACTTGTCTTTATATTTATTTGCGTTGGTTTGTACGAAGTGTCAACTTTAGACAATCCAACTAAAGCGCACTTTTAAATTATGTCAAAAGATGTCGCTTTGGTTCGGAATTATTGTGCTGGGCAAAATTTTTTCTCGTCCATAATTATGAAATTTAAATTTTTAACTAATGCATATACAATATATTTATAAACATTTGAAAATCTTAAAAATATACTGTCGAATATGACGTATAATATATACTATTACAACGACTTAAAATAAATTTGTTTCCGTATCCATGTGCCTGAGACTCTGAGCTGATGAATTGGAGGTTTTTGTCTCGTCGCAGTGGTCTTTATGGCGTGCCTTTGACAACTTATATAAACTGTTTCTTGTTTATGAGCCCATTAAGATTAGAATAAGAGTGCTGTTTATGTAAGCCGCCAAGCAATCAATGCGAGGCATGCATCTAAATTTTGTTGAAAGAAGCGGTCTCTATATTAAAAATCTTTCCAACGGCCTAAAAATCCATTTTTCATCCTTAATTATAAAAATTTTAAGCTGAAAAAATAGTACAGATCAAACAAATCTTTAAAATTTTAAAAATAGATAGCCAAGTAATATGTTATAAGTTGCATCATTTTTAGTACTTGAATCATTTTTTTATTTTCATGCAACTCGAGCTCGAGATCATCAATTCAAGGGTTTTTAACATTGAAACAACCTTTTTAAGTAGAAATTTTAGATGCACCTTACTTCTATAATATAATTCGCAATTACTTGCAACCATTCGATGAGAAATCCAATAGCTTGGGTAGGTCACAAAGTTCGAGAAAAGTTTGTTTAAACTTTGAGCTTGGTCAATGAATTAAATGCAGCCACCCAAATTCACATCCAATGGTCCAGATTAATTGTTACCACCTTGTACCAAAGATAAATAATGTATTGCAACTCAAGTTACAACCGATGTGCATGAGTCTCCTAGAGATATAGGTAGGTTGCCAGTGAGAGGTCATCTATCTCGTAAAGGGAGTAATATGTTCATCGGGGCAAATACAATGGCAAAACTTTGTACCATTCATTTTATTTAGGTAAGTATGCTATTTTTTTTGGATGTGGTTTGTATAGAGCCGAGGCTTTAAACAATCAAAATAAAGCACACATTCAAATTGTGTTGAGAAATGTGGTTTCAATATTGAAAATATTTGTGATAGCTTTAAAATATATTTCTATCTTTAATTATAAAAATTAAAGGTTCAAAAATAGTGTAGATCAAGCAGATCTATGAAAACTTGAAAATCTTGAAAATTGACGGTCAAAAAATGTGTTACAAGATGCACTATTTCCAAAACTTGAAATCCATTTTTTTTTCCTCATGTTGATGCACTTGTTATCAAGATGATCAATTTGAGGATATTTGGGCATCAAAACAAGCTCTTGTAGTGAAATTTTTGAGGTGGGCTCTAATTTGATTGTTTAGAGCCTCGGCTGTATATAAACTTTTTCCCTTTGTTTTTGTTTTTTTTAAGATAATATTGAATCAACACTAAAAAGTTTATATAAGGTTACAACTTTAAAATGTAGGACTATGGATGTACCTCGAAAATCATTAGGAAAAAGTTGTTTTAATGTTAGAAAACCCTTTAATTGATCATCTCGACATTGACATACATGACTATGAAAAAAAAAGGATTTTGAGTCCCACAAATAGTACATCTTGAGTCCCACAAATAGAACACATTATCTAGACCGTCCATTTTCAAGATTTTCATATACCTATAGATCTACTTGATTTTAACTATTTTTGAAGTTTAAAATTTTATAATTAGATATGAAAATAGATTTTAAAATAATCTTAAAATATTTTACTTCAAAATTATATATTATGATCAAATTTGAAGGTGCGCCTTAATTGGATTGTTTAAGGTTGCAACCTTATAAAACCACAACCCCCCAAATGAACTAAAAAATTAAATGGACCGCGTGGATCACCACAACTTTTTCCCTCTCTCGGGAGAAAACTTTTATCTTCAATATATTACTGGCAACCGCGAAAAGATAATTACTCGTGCCAATCGCGAAAAGATAATTACTAGTGCCAATCGCGAAAAGACGAGCGAGGAGGAGAGAGAGAATTTTTGAAATGTTATAAGCCCCATTTTCCTGAAGCAGAGGACACAGCCCAAGTCTCTTTGAAGATCAAAACCCCTAATTATACTGAGTATCCCGGAATCCAATACGAAAACCTTCGTCGACGTTCAAATTAGGGTTTCAATTCCAGGTTTTAGTTCCGCAGCTACCGAAGATCCGAAATAAGCACTTGTTTGATTCCCTTCTAAACCTAAGGTGGATCTTCCAAACTCTAGAATATCTTCCCTTTTCCTGTGACATCAATCACTGCCAATTTAATCATTGGTCTCTCTCTATTTTTGTTGATATCTGATTCTTTGATTGTTTGTTTGTTTTGCTGTTTTGTGAATTTTTCTTTTCTGGTCTTCTTATTCTTTTCATTAATTCTTTTTGGGGGTTTATTATAGAGGCCATGGATGATTATTGTGCTGTGTGCGCTGAGCCATTGGAGTGGGTGGCCTATGGGATGTGTGGCCACAAAGAGGTTTGTTCAAAGTGTGTTGTACGGCTCAGATTCATCCTTAGCGATCCTCGATGTTGTATTTGCAAGAGCGAATGCCCCACCGTCTTCATCACAAAGGTATTTTTGTTAATTTATTTGTTTGATTAGGAGAGGGTTTTCATGGATTTGACCGATTTGACCTCCTCTTTTAGTATTGTAATCGTTGTAATTGTCCTCTATTTATTTCTGATCATGATTGGTGTCATGTCTCACGTTTGCGTATTAATATTGATTGTGAACATTGGGTTGTTTTGATGAAATTTTAGGGCTTTTATTTGGCATAGATTTTAATCAACGGTTGGATCTTTGATGGATTGGTGTTCAAATAGTTTGAGGTTATGTTATTGTGTCGCGCTCCCTGCTTTAAGAGATTAATAAAATTTATGACACGCCTAATATTTGGCTAAAAGAACCTATGCATGTTCATTGATTTATGGTGAGTTAGCTGCTTTGAGGGAAAATTGAAGTGTGTCATGATGTTTACACATAACAAGCAGGTTGATTTTAATCATTGTGGTAATGGATTTTGTCATTGTGGTAATGAGAAGCAGTTGAAACACTTTATTATTCCTTGGTTTGTTTGAGATGGAGAGCCTGGATGTTATTATACTTTTGAATTTTGCAATGTGAAAAATGGAATAGATGCCTTAACTTGTCTATTACTTTGTCAATTAGAATCACTAATCATTAAAAATGTTGTAGACTAGGCTGCTACTTTATTTCATGTCTGGTTGTATTGTACATAACTGAATCATTCCCACCTGTAATAGCAGTCTATGTTGTAGACTAGGCTGCTACTTTATTTCATGTCAGGTTGTATTGTAAATAACTGAATCATTCCCACGGCTAATAGCAGTCTTTCTTTATAAATGGCGGCTTTTAAGATCTCTCCTCTTATCTCTTGTAGTTGTTAAAGGTGTCTAACTGAATCATTCCCACGGGTAATAGCAGTCTTTCTTTATAAATGGTGGGTTTTAAGATCTCTCCTCTTATCTCTTGTAGTTGTTAAAGGTGTCTTTATCAAAAATCCATTAGTTGTTTACTTGTCCTTTGAGGCAAGCTTTCTGTGGTGCCTGAACAAGTAGTTGTCTACTTGTACTATTCTTCAACGAGAACTTTCAAACTACCCCCAAAAATATTCAGTAGTTAGCATTGGCCATAACAAAATGCTAAAATATTTAATTAGTCGGCATCTCACCTCCAATCAGTTGGCTTTGATGTCTTTTCTCCTTTCAATGTGAACTCCTTAAATGACATAGTGCAACCAGCTTAAAATATTCATTGAGGATCTTCCCCTCCCATGTATCCATCTTTGTGCATAAAAATTGTCTGCTCTGCATTGGCTTGTGAAAGAGGCTAAATTCACAAAGTGATGTGACCGTCAGCCTAACCTTGGGCCTATTTCTTGTTAACCTATTGCGTCCATTGTAGTTTGGAATCTGAAAAGTTTTCAACGACCATTACTGAACGCCATGGATACTATGTAAAGAATTCTTTTGCATCCTTTTTTTTATGCTAATTCAATGTAACAGCTGTGCGGCATGGACTAGGGTAAATATGTCAATGTTAGACATGTATGCGGCATCATATTCCTCATGCCGTAAGAAAGAGGATTTGTCGACACAGCTGTATTACGAAGAGACAACCAAATCCAACAATGTTTCACTAATGTCCTATTTAATGATCAATAGCAAGAAAAAATGAGTTCCAGCTTAGTTGGCTGAATCCATAGATACTTTTAAAGTTCCATGGTTATTTTCATATTTCATATGTTCCACTCAAAAAAGAAAAAAGATCAAGCCTCTAAAATTATGTAACCAAGGGTTAGTAAACAAGGAAAAGAACCCAGAAGATTCTGTGTCGATATGTGTTTCAATATTTGCCTTTCTCTGTGGATCATTTATTCCATGAATTCGGTGACATAAGGCAAAATAAATCTATAGGAGTTCTATATTATTTCTACCCTTTATTTCTATATTATTTCTACCATTTATTCCATGAATTCGGTGTCATAAGGCAAAATAAATCTATAGGAGTTCTATGATATTTCTACCCTTTATTTGCTTTACCTTTTGATTCCTCCCTATATGCTCCTTAAGTTGCATGTATGCTTTATTGACAGCTTCTTATTAAGGGCTGCATTTCTGTTATTTCGACAAGATTCTTCTTATATTGATAATACTGCGATAACATTTTTTTTCCCACTAAATTTTAATCGTTCACCATTGTTACTTTGGGTGCTTTGGTTAAATCCATACCAGATCAATGACACCATTACTAGTTTTTTCACAAAATTTTATATCCCACTCTGTTGCCTAGGCCTTCAAAGAAATCATATTATTGACCTAGATTAGGTGCTTAAAAAGGGAATAGGCATGTAACATAAGAAATATATGTTACATAAGAAAACATATTTTCAATTTTTTGCTTTTTACAAATCCATTCATTGCAGGGTCAAAATGAGTTGTCGAAAACCACAAACATGGTGTTGGGCTTGAGATGTTTTTGGCAATAATGCAAAACATTTATTAAATGTTTTAATATAAAATATTTATCCATAAATATTATGTTCAAATATAAAGTATTTATTTACAGATAATAAGTTCTATTGATTGAAATAAAGGTTTTGTCTGTCGTCACGCGACCCAAAAAAAGACAAGGCACGAGACCAATGTCTTTGGGACCTCCATCCGGTGCCTGTGGTCTATTCATTTCCATAGGCACTAGGTTCTTGCGTAGGAACCTAAGTGGTTGTTGGACTCTATTCTATTATTGGGCAAGAAAGCATGAGGCACCTGCCCATCCTGCTTTTTGTAACTCATTTTCCAATTTTATTCATGCAGTTTTTTTGTTTACGGTTGTCTTGCATGGGTGGCCTGAGCCATATATTTTTTACCGCTGTTTGATACTGGGGGGTACCTATGGCTCAGTGATGCTCCTCTTGGATGAAGGAGCTTTGTTATTATTATTCCAAGCAATTAGATAATTAAATGCACATTCAATTATGATAAGGATGAATTCTGATCTTTGCATATCAGATGATGTCATGTGTATAACTTTTCTACGATCATCTTCAAGAGGGTTAAGTGAAGTTGGATGAGATAATAAGGAAATGCAAGTTATCATTAGCAATCAATGCAGTATTGAGCATGCATTTTAACTTTTCAAGAATTTGATTTTTCTTATTGATTGGATATAAGCTTGCATGCTTTACATGCATGCATTATTAAGTTCTCCTTATGATTTATCTTCTGATTTAAAGACGTAAACTGTTACCCATTTTGCATTACATGTAGCAAAAGTATCCTATAATCAAAGTTGACTGTTGAAAAACGATAGACCAAATGAGCTATCAAATGAAATAGTGGATAGTGATGGAGAGAGCGGGACTCACCATTGGGGTCATTTCATATTTTGGACTGTTACAACTTGATGGATTAAGAATTGTATGGTGTCGACTAGATTCTACAATATTTTCCCTTATATGTGACACATGGATGTTTTAGAGGTCAGCAATGTTCCTCTATGTGGATTTCTTGCAAAATAGCTACGTACTTACATTTTTTGTGGTTTTGACAGGCAATGGGGGATTACACCAGGACAATGAGTGACTTCAGTGTATTTCCTCCTGGTGCAGTGGAAGGTCAAGTAGGACCGTACTGGTACCATGAGGATACACAAGCTTACTTTGATGATCTAGATCACTACAAGATGATTAAAGCTATGTGTAGGCTCTCTTGTAACATTTGTGATACCCAAACGGCAGATATACAAGGGAATGATGCCCTAAAAAGAAGGGAAAGATTTAAAAATGTTGAGCAGTTGAAAAAACACTTGTTCTTCAGACATAGGAGCCATATGTGTGATCTATGCTTGGAAGGAAGGAAGGTGAGACCATCAGTTGTTGCATATTCTTAGTTGGATATTCTGGTATTTTAACGTGTCCTAGTTTCGCACGTCCCTTGTGCTTTTGAGTTTTATTCTTTAAGCATTGATGAAAATTCTTTTTACTGATAGTTCAGTTAAATTTCATGTACAAATTATAATCAGCGTTATGTATTAGGACCTTTTTCTAGTCTTAATAATAAATGTTTCATTGAAGAGCATGAATTCATGGGTTCTATGCCGTTATAATAACGAGCCTTTTATGAAGCTAGGTGGTTTAAGAGGAACCAAAAAGTTTCTACTGAGTTTGCTCAGACCATCATCCTTGTTTGCGTCGTGAAGTTTAAAACCTTTACTGATCATTTCCTTGTCTGACATGATAAAAAGAAAGATGGAAACTGATAAAGTGATATGTTTGTGCAGTAATTAATGAAGAAAATCAAGTAGGTAGATCATTGTTATATAGCAATTCAAGAAGTAAATATTATGTTGCAGTGTGCTGTTAGATATTGCATTATTTTTGTTAAGTTATTTCTAAGCCCCTCTAATTTGTTTAATATATGTGGAGAATGTTCAGTATACACTATCCAATATCCAGACTGGACAATCTCCCTGTCCTTTCTACACCATTGAACGAGTATTGAGTGGTGCTCTCCCTATGGAGTGTGGCCAGTATCCTCCCTTGAAGCATATATGCGATGCCTAGTTATACAATGAATGGTGGGGAAGGTCAAACTCATATCTCATTCAGTCACATGTGTTGGACCCACGCCTTTGCAAAAAAGGAAATATGATTTGTTATAGTTTTAGAATTTTATTGTCAAACAAGTGTTGCATTCATCTGGTCACTCCATTTTATATGGCCATTGCTGTCCCTTTTAAAAGGTTGTCTGGATTCATCTTTAACCTGACAATGTTAATGGTAATCCTGAACTCTCCTCTTAATCATATGGGCATACTCATATACAATTATATTCCATGATTTGGTCAAATTTGTCAGAAACCTGAATGACTTGGCCTGATATTCCTGACAGTTTGTGCATCTAATATTTGTAGTTTTCCATTTGTGAAATAAATAAAGGGTGTGGTTTGCATAAGGTTGCAACCTTAAACAATCAATTTAAGGCGCACCTCCAAATTTTATCATAACATGTAAATTTGGTGTAAAAAATTCTTAGGATGTCCTGAAAAACTATTTTCATCTCTAATTATAAAATTTTAAACTCCAAAAATGGTTCAAATCAAGTAGATCTATAAACATATGAGAATCTTGAAAATGAATGGTCTAGATAATATATTGCAAGATGCACTATTTTTGGGACTCAAATTTTTTTTTTTTTTTTCATATTTCTACATCTCTATGTCAGATGATCAATGAAATTTCAACATTAAAACAGCCTTTTCCGATGGATTTTTGAAGTGCACCTTAATTTTACATTTTAAGCTTGCAACCTTATATAGATGTTTGCCATAAGGGTGTGGTTTGCAAAAGGTTGCAACCTTAAACAATCAATTTTAGGCGCACCTCCAAATTTTATCATAACTTGACAGTAAATCAAACCCAGTGCTTTATCACATTTAGCTGTGATTCTGTCTCACATCGGACAAAGTTCAGTCAACTTTTTTTAATTTCGTTAGTAAATGGTTCCGAGTCAGAAAGAGGCTTATCTTTTATTTCATAACCTTAAGCTAACCATGCTACTTTATTTTCTATTGATTATGCGAAGTAACACAGTAGAGGTCCCATTTGGATGTCCTTTCTCCAGTTTGCATGAATCTGCCCTGGGGTTGCATCAGAATGAGTGGCATGCCAATTTGATGCTCTGTTACTTGTGGGTGCAACTCCGGGAATGGAACCCTGCTTGAAGGAAAAACTGCCTGTGGGGTTCTAACATTAGCAGTTAAAATAAAGGAAAAAATAATAATAATTTACTGCTAACTGCAAAAAAGGAATGGTAGAACTGGTTAATGTCATTCTCAGATGCCTATTTCATGCTTTTGCCCCTAAAGGCAGGTGAAAATAAGGCTGGGTATTGCTACCAGGGCATCCAAATGGGGCCATAATCTTTACAGATATGTATGCACATGTTATTACAATGCACATGATCTTATTTCTGATTCATTATGCTGTTGCTTTGCAGATATTTATTTGTGAACAAAAGCTTTATACAAGGGGACAGTTGAATCAACATATGAGCACAGGCAATTCAGAGGTGGATGGAGACGAGAGTGAGAGGGGTGGCTTTATGGGACATCCTATTTGTGATTTCTGCAAAAAACGATTCTATGGGGACAATGAATTGTATACGCATATGTCAACTGAACATTTTACCTGCCACATATGTCAAAGGTATGTGGTGAATGTTTCCTCTTTCTCTTTCTTAGGATTGTTTTTGTCTTTAGATTATGCTACAATTGCTTTCTGAATGTGCAGGATGCACCCCGGACAATATGATTATTTCAAAAATTATGACGATTTAGAGGTAAGTTTAGTGTAGGTATTTGTGTTCCTGATTTAGCCTTGCTTTGGATTCTTATGGTAATGTTGTATTTATGGTTGTTAATATCTTGGCCACAGACGCATTTTCGACAAGAGCACTTCCTCTGCGAAAGTGAAGCTTGCCTTGAAAAGAAGTTTGTAGTCTTCACATCTGAATCTGAAATGAAGGTGAATCAGCCATGACGTTTACTGACTGGAGTTTGTGGATTGCTTCACTAATTTTTCTTTTTTTTGGGGTATATTGTATCCTCTGACTGTATTATAACTAAACTTTTCTGATGTTTGTATTCCTTTATATTGGTTTCAGAGGCATAATGCCTTAGAGCATGGGGGCCATATGTCTCGTTCTCAACGTAACGCTGCTCTTCAGGTGTGTGGCTACTTTTCTCAACTATTGTCCTCGCAAGCAGCTTAATAAAACTAAACTATATACTCTTCCTGGATACTTTGCTTTCCTTTGCATATGCTCCTCTCTCTCTCTCTCTCTCTCTCTCTCTCTCTCTCTCTCTCTCTCTCTCTACTACTCTACTACTCTCTACTACGTACTCTACTACTACTACTACTACTACGTACTCGTACTTCGTTACGTTACGTTACGTTACG